AATAAAATAATAACAATAATATCAATAATAATAATAGCAAAAATAACAATAAACAACATTTCACACTAACTTGAAAATTTTTATTCACTTCATTAACTGTGATATCCTATAATTTGGTGGAAAAATTAGTTAACAATATTATTGTTATTGTTGTTGTTGCTGCTGTTGTTACTGTTACTGTTATTGGTATGATATATTGAGATATAAATGCATTTATTATTATATATATATAATTATTAATCTTATTATTTATTTAATTAATTAACTCATTCATTCATTTACACTATCAGTCGTTCATTCATTTAATTTGTATCTGATATATATATACTAATTTAGTAAGATTTGGTAAGTATCGTTAAACCTCAACATAAGATTAAGATACGAGTGGCTAATATAACATAATCAGCATATGAATGATATATTAAATAAATACATTAATGTATTGAATAAATATAATGATAAATTAATTAATTAATTAGTTAATAGAATAATTAGTCAAATAAAACAGTTTCCTAATTATAAACCAACGACATATAGATAGAGCACTGATACACATAGGTACTAAGCGAAAATGTTTTCATTTTTTAAAACACTGGCGCTTGCTTTTATAATGAAAAATTGTAGAACCTATGGATAATTAGTTATACATACATACGTATCCATCTCTCTCTCTCTCTCTCTCTCTCTCTCTCTCTCTCTCTCTCTCTCTCTTTCTCTCTCTCTCTCTCTCTCTCTATATATATATATATACATAGTGATATAATACCACAATATTTGTATCATATATCATAGATCTACTTATATACCCCCATCGACAACGCCATCAATAAATTTATTGATATTTTTTTTCTGATTGATATCTTTTTTCTGAATGCAATTAATCATGATAGTTTTATATTTTGATATAGAGATATATAGATAGACATATAGGATGTAAATTCTGACATTTATGTCTGTATGTGTGTGTTTGTGTATGAGTTGTGTGTATTTAGTGTATGTGTGTGCTCAGAGCCAGATTGACATGCTGGAAAAAAAGAAAAAAATGAAAAAATAAGAAAAACAGAAAAAAAATGAGAGGGGGGGAGAAAAAGTACGAAAAAGACAGAAATATAAAGAAAAAGAGAAAGAGAGAGAAAGAGAGAGAGAGAGAGGAGAGAGAGAGAAAATAAGATAAAGATGGAAGTAGAAAGAGAGAAAGAGAGGAGAGAGAGAGAGAGAGAGAGATAGCGAAAGAATCTTTTTTCCTTCTTGAAACCTGTTTCAGCAGACAGACAGACAGAAGTAGCAGAGAATAGTGGCAAATGCTTTTCATTAAGTTATCCGTCAGTACGAACAATTACATTGTCGACTGTTTGTATACCACTTTGTATTTGTTTGTTTGTATTTGTTTATTTGTATTTGTTTGTTTGTATTCGTTTGTACGCATGTACATATTTCTGTACGTCCGTGTGTATTACCTACACGTACATGTGTGTGTTTGAATTTCTTGCCATATGTAAATGTACATTTTTGTGCTTCATTAGCTTGGTTTGTTTCAATTGTATTCAAATCTAATTTTTGCGTGGCAAACGTTTTTCATCCTAAAGGATTGCGCTCGCGAAGATATAGTATGAAGAAAAGAATAAGAAAAGTTTAAGAAAAAAAGAGAAAGAGGAGAGAGAGAGAGAGAGAGAGAGAGAGAAAGTGAGAGAGAGAGAGAACAGAAGAAAGATGGAAAGAAATGAATTAAGCGTTAAATATAGGACACACACACGTTTTAATTAACCACATAGTTGGGATATTTTGGCGTATTAGTAATAATAGATCAATAGTTAATTAATTAATTAATTAAATATAAAACGTTTGAGTGAAACTGTGTAATATTGATACTTTGTGTTGTATATTGCACATTCTACTGTATCGTGTATTTGTATTTCTTTGTATTGTATATTGTATGTTGTATTACATTGTGTGTTTGTATTACTTTGTATTGTATATTGTATGTTGTATTGTTGATTTTTGCACGTCAATGAAGAGTATGTGTGCTGTCTTGAAACCAACAACAGTTGTCCAGGTCATATATCGACCACTGCTCAATTTTGACTGACCGTTTATATGCGCGCGTGTGTGTTTGTGTGCGTGCGTACGTACGTGTTTATGTATGTGATTGCATAATCAAATGCCGACACATATATTACATACATAAAAAATACATACCCACATACAGACCATTACAAACATATATAAACACATACATAGATACAAACATGCAAACAAACACCACACACACACACACACACGCACGCACACACGCACACACTTACATACAACACAAACACGGGCCTGGTTTTCGACGTTTAAGTTTTGATGAATTGATCAAAAGATGTATTTCTTTTCTAGTAGACACGCCGCTTTTGTATATATGCTTGTTTGTATGTTTGTTTGTTTGCATGTTTGTGTGTATGTTTGTGGATGTGCCTGTAAGTATAAAAATGTGATTAAGGCATGTTTGTATTGTGTGTAGAGTAACATGGAAAGGTATTTTTATACTGGATATCTATTTGTCTGTGTACATATTTGTATTTACCTCTTATCTCTTTGTTCTATTGTTAAAAATAATACCTTTGAGGTATATGTTTGTATAAGTATTGTGTGTGTGTGTGTGTGTGTTGTGTGTGTTGTGTGTGTGTTGTGTGTGTGTTGAAATGTTTCGTTGTTGTTTTATGTGTATGTATTTGGTTGTTCTGTGCTATATATTTTTGTCGTTGTTTTTGTTGTTGTTGATGTTGTTGATGTTGTTGTTGCTCTATTGTTGCTATATTTGAACAACAAACACAACAACAAAAACAACATAATAACAACAACAAAAACAACAACAGCAACAAAAACAACACAACAACAGCAACATAAAAAATTCGTATCGCTCATAAACAGCAACAACCTCTGCAAATGAAAAAACATTGCCACGAGCGTTCTTACGAAGTTCTTTAACTAAATGCAAACAAAGAAAGAGATAAGGAGATGAAATAAGAGAGAGAGAGAAAAAGGAAGAGAAAAAGAAAGATAGAGAGAAAGAGAGAGAAAGGGAAAGAGAGAGAAATTAGAAAGAAAAAAAGAAGGAGAGAAAAAAATACGAGACGAAAATTATTAATGATATTATAATCATCATAATTTTTATTATTTTTTTATTATTGTTATTATTATTATTATCGTTAATGCCCATCACCATCACGATCATCATCGTCGCCGTTGCCGTCATCATCATCATCATTATTTATTTATTACAATTTTATTCCCATCAAACGCGTAGAAGATATTCAAATATGGCCACATAAATAAAACAAAAACCGGCAAACTGATGTCTGTCTGTGTTTGTTTGAGTGTGCGTGTGTGTGTGTGTGTGTGTGTTTGTGCGTTTGTTTGTACGTGTGCGTGCGTGTGTGCAGGCGTTCGTTTAGAAAGTTCACTTCCTCTTAAACATTTAAATACAAAAAGCATCAATAAAATAGAAGCAAAGATTAGAAGGATATAAATATAAATATATATATATATACATATATATATATATATATATATATACAAAAAATTCACGTACAAAAATTTGTTTATTTAGAATTGTGAGCGCTTTTGAAAATGTTTAAATAGCGCTATATAGATTGTTCTTAATAATATGATACCTTCTATTGTAATAGACACTCGTTGTGACGACGACGATGACGATGACACCAACAATGACAGAGCCAAAAAGAATATTGTAGGAGGGCGATGAAAATGATGAAGACTGAGGTTTTATATATATATATATATATATATATATAGGTATAGATAGATAGATAGAATGCTTGAATGAATGAATGAATGAATGAATGAGTAAACGAATGAGCAAACAAACAAACAAACAAACAAACGATGAAACGAACAAATAAAGAAATGAATGGACAAATACTTCAATGGAACGCATGAAGGAATGAATGAAAAAACATGTAGCCAATAATGTGATCTTCCAAAATATTCATATTGGATACTCTTTCCAAGATACACCAGAAGGATACTATGCATCAATACCTTAACACTCATACGGTTTACTTGAAAACTAAATATGTTAATACATTAGAAAAATTACTCCAGTCAATAGTAACGTTTGTAATTTTCTAACTTTCTGCCCTCTGCTAACAATGTTTTACCGTCACTAGGGGGTCCACAAAAGACTTTTGCATGTAGTTTTACCTTTTCTCGCCTGCTTTTCACTAACTGATTGAATAAATTCTAGATGAATATATAAGGATGATTAGCTCTCTTAGAGAAGATTGAGAAACTAGTTGAAGATTTATTGCTGTATTATACTTCTAATTTAATTTATAACAGTGGTTGGAATTGGTAATTGCTAATTAATCGCACTAATTAACATTTCTCCCAACATGCAAAAATGCTATGCAACAAAAAGGTATCCTGAAAATCTCAAGTATTTAGATTTATTTTAATATGTGCAAATTTTTCTGACATTTTGAAGATTTCTGTATAAAATTAGGCAGAATTAATCATCTTTTAAATGTAGAAACTGCATATTTTACATTTTATCCTATAATTTATTATGTAGATTTTAAATAAATTCATATAATAAATAATATGTGGTAAAGTAAATAATTACCAAGTTATGATAGAAATTAACTTTTAGACATTTAAAGTTCAAAATTTCCCAAACTTTTCCTAGTAAGGTTTTTAGTTTCAGGATAAAAAAAGGTTTATAATTAAAGAACGGGTCAGTGTTTTAATAATATTTGTAAAATTTACCAAAATAACTTGAAACTGAACGTTTGCTTCTGAAAGTTTGCTAGCTTTTTTCAAGTAAATAATTATCGATGTTGAGCAAGACACAGAAGACCAAGTCCGACACACACACACATACACACACACACACACACACACACACACACACACACACCAGGACAACATCATCACAAGCACGTGATTAGAAGGAGATATTCTGATAGTTATTAAATGTTTGGTGTTTGAAGGACAAGATGGCATCTAGCGAGGCCCACTCGACACCATTCTCTCCCAAACTTTCACATTACCAGTGCAATGAAGGTGCTGCTACCACCATACCACATCCAGTTTAGTTTTTCTTTTTCTGTTTTTTTTTTGTTTTAATAGTTGAATTATTTAATATTTTTAATAATTTGAATCAAATAATAAGATTACTTTTGTGATAATGTGCATACATGTGTGTATAGTTTATGTATATATATATATAGAGATTTATATATAAAATATAGTTTATTAGTTTGTGGCTGGGTGTCTTTAAGTGTGTCTCTGTATATATATATATATATAACTGAGGAAAATCACAGCATGTTCCACGTTTGTTAGCTTCCAGTTTAACTTCAAAATTTTTATTTATTTTAAGCATGAAAAAATATTTAAGCATGATAGAACAAAAAAGCTTTTTTGGGTATTGTTTTGTTTCATGAGTATATATATATATATATATATTTGCAGCATTGATCATTTAGAAAATTATTTACTGATTTAATCATTATTATTATTATTATTTGACATAATAATATAATTATAATTAATTTATTTTTATTTTTACTTCTCTGTCCTCAAGAATCTACCATGCCAAATTGAGCTGCCAGTTCTGAAAGATGGCTTTATGATTTTCATCCAATCAAAAATTTGGCCTAATGCTATGAAGTATTAATTACCATTATAAAACTACTATTTAAACAACTAATACTCACTGTGCAACTGCTTATACAACTAACTAACACTACTTTCTCAGTTTTATAGTAGAATTTCTACGTCTGCAACGCGACATAGTCTGTTCGATTGCTCTCACATTCGATTCTAAAGGGATTACAAAAGTTAGTAGGAGCAGTTTCATTCATGGTGTCCATGGACGAGAGGAGAAAGATTCTTCTAGATTTCTGCCAAGGCCAACTGATGTTATGGAGATGATTATACTAGTTACTAATAACTGTTTCAAGGTTAGTCAGGGTTTTTGAATTTTTTTTTTTATGTTTAAAAGTTAATTTAGAAGTAGTTTACTGTTGCATTATCACCACACCTACAGTGCAGTTTCAACGGTCGCCACACATTCGATTTCATCCATCGCTGTCCATTATCGTCTGTCCATGCCTTCAAGGTCAAAGGTCACGTAGATGTTATGAAGATCTTTTTCCAGGATCCTGTTAGTGTTGATGATGATGATTGAGATGATGATGATGATGACAGTGGATGTGATGATGATGGTTGGGATTATAATGATGATGGCTGTATGAGTTACATCAGCCAAAAATAATAATTAAACGCTTTTTAATAAATATTTTAGCATTCTATGCCAAGAAGATTGTCGGCGCCAAGCAACAACACAAATCAATCAGTCCAATTTGACAGCAACAGACCTACCACCAACACCACCAACGGCATCCATCCATCACAAGAACAACAACGTCTGCAACAACAACAACATCAGCAACAACAACAACATCAGCAACAGCAACTGGCAACCGATGCAACAAAATCTCTTGGCGCAACCTCCTCTTACCCACCGTCAACATCGTCCGGCTTTTGTTCAGTTATTTTCCCGCCATTTGCATCTTCGTCTTCTTTATCATTGTCATCATTATCATCAGCATTACCACCAACATCACCATCAGCAGCTGCAGCGTCATGGTTATCGTCATCATCATCTTCTTTATTCAAGCAGTCCTTTATAACTTCTCCTGCCATTGCTAAGGTCATGTAGCAATGACAATATCATTTTTAAAGATTGAATGAATAGTAATAATAATAATTATTATTATTGTTTTTTATTATTATAATTATAGAAGGCCAAAGTTTTTTCATTTCCTAATGGTTTGCACCATTCCCAAGTTATTACCATATACGCTGCTCTGCATGCAAGCTGCCAGTGGTTAGTTGTCGTTATTATTTCTTTAACCTGCTGTTTTGTTTAATTTTATTGATTAATTCGACTGCTGCTACTACTGCTGCTGTTGTTGCTGCTACAACCGCTGCTACTACTGCTACTTTAATTGCCACTGCCGCCACAAATATAACGAATCGTAATGAAACAACATTCATAGAAAGAGTTACATCCTCTTTCACCTGCAGGTTCAAAATATGCATCTCACTGTCAGAACACCTCGACGATCATAGCCTCATTTTTTACGTTAACGTTCCTGAAAAGGTTGTACTCAGAAGTAGCTGCAAGAGAGGCGACCTTGGTACCTCTGAAGTCGAAATTCCTGGGTTTTTCCCATTTTTGCCTAATTCGTATGTCTGCATTTATATCCAGTGCCTGGACGACTGCTTCAATGTGAGACTTTTTGTGTGATTTCTTGTCATGATTATCTCTGTTATTCGTCATTAAATAGTATTTTAATATTATATTTAATAATATTTTTTATTATAACTGTGTTTATTATTTGTAATTAATTAATTAATTGATTAATTAATTAATTAATTAATAATGTTTTACGCTGTAGGTGGCAGTCGACAACCGCCATTTTGTCGAGTTTAAGCGGAGGGATTTTTACTTGTCAGAGTGCAAATGTTTGCTCATCAAGGGTGATCTCATCGTATCGCATGTTATATAATTATCGTAATTATGGTCACAATAATAATAATAATAATAATGGTGATGGTGAAGATGATGATGATGATTGAAATGATGATGATGATTATGATAATATATTAATAACGTTATTGATGATGACTAAGATGATGATGACGATGGTGATGACGATGATGATAAGGAGTTAACATGATGGCGATAATATTTGATACCTTTTGTATAGTATCACTAACACCGATGATGACAACTAAATAAACACTGATATGATATCATTTCTATTGAAACGCCCATGATGATATGATATTAATAATGATATGATATCATTTGCATTGCATCACAGTATTCATCTTAGTTTGCTTAATCTATCGCTGACTATTTTTCCATTCCTTTTATTCTTTTTGTTTTTGTTTTTATTATTATTTTGTTATTTGACCATACCTGCAAACATAGTACATATCACACACACACACACACACACACACACACACACACACACACACACACACACACACGCACACGCAAATAATATCACAAACACGTAAGCACATACACGTGCGCATACTTATACCAAAAGCTAATTTTTTTTTGTCTATATAAATCATTTTGTGATTTGCTTTTTCTAAACATTTATAATGTTTTATATACATGTGTGTATCATGCTCACACACACGTACACACACACGCACACAGATAGACAGACACACACACAAGCAAACAAACACGCGAGCTTTTGATTTTGTGTTCCTTATTTTCGTATGTATGAACAAGCAGAGCTAAATAGAAATATGTGGGCATGTTTTGTGTGTGGTAGGCTATTTTTATCTCAATCTCGTTAATGATATGTTTATGTATGTATGTATGTATGGGTTTGTGGATTTGTGTGCGTGTGTGTGTGTTTGTGTGTGGGTTTGTGTGTGTGTGTGTGTTCATGTGTGCGTGCGTGTGTACGTGTATTAAAAACGTAACAAGAATTTTTATTGATTGTCCGTCGTTTTTATGAATCACTTCTTGCAAAGTAAGTAAGTAAATAAAATAATAAACAAATAAATAAATAGACGAAACTGTAGCCACATTCATACACATACACACATGCACGCACACATACACAAGCACGCACATAACACACGTACACAATTAAATTAATAAAGATGTCCAATGAAAAATCTCAACGTTAATAAATGGTTAATCAGTTAGTTCTCTTACACACACACACAACAATTACACACCCACACACACTCACACACATACGTTAAATATCATTAATATTGTTAGAAACTGTATATATTATAAGCATTATAAGGTAACAAATATGAAAACACGAGTGTGTGTGGTGTGTGTGTGTGTGTGTGTGTGTGTGTGGTGAAAAAATTTCACAGTCAATATAACCGTATCGTTACATTCATTGTCAAAGACTAAAAAATCGTGTAGATATAAAGTGTTATTATATACTATGCATATATAAACCATCAGTCAAATAGTGTTTGTCTAGGAAAGACGGACTTCTGGTTCTTTATTCTGTTGATGTTGTTGTATATGTTGTTGCGATTGGTGTTGTTGTAACTGATGTTGTTGTAACTGATGTTGATGTTGTTGTTGTGACGGAAGTTGCTGCTGCTGCTGCTACTGCTGCTTCCGGTGTTGATGTAATCATTGATGGTTCTATGGTAGCTATTGATGTTGTGATTGGACGTGGATGGAATGTCGTTGTTGGTGTCATTGTTGTTCATGTTGTTGCTGCCATTGCTGCTGCAACTGCTGTTAAGCTGTGTGTGTGTGTTGTGGTTTTTGAGGTTGTCAATTTTTTGTTGTATCTCATCTCGCCTGGCTTTCGATTTCAAGATCGTTTGTATGGCTTCCTCCACTGATAAGTTTATCGTCGGATTCAATTGATTCACTCGTGCGATGTTGATCAAATTGTTGTTGTTGTTGGATGTTGTTGTTGTTAAATTTGGTTGTTGTTGTTGTTGTTGTTGCTGGGAGGTGTTAGTGATGTTTGTTGAAGTTATTTTTAAAGGTCTCCTTGCTTG